TCCCCTCGACCAAGCATAGTATCAACATTTTTGAATTTAGACATTTCTGTGTTCAGCGATCATTCATGCACCAAACCCCACAATGGGCTCCTAGTTCAAAACCGGGCCGTTGTTTGTCTCCAAGTGGCCAAGACCTGACCCGCGTTGACTATCGTCTCTGGTTGAAGAGCCTGATTGATGCGAGCCACCACAGCCTAAATGATTGGTTCTACTTAGCTCTATTTCATTTTACAGTTTTGCTTGTTGTGGCCTGTCGACGCAAATCGTGGATTGGTTATACCGGATCCCTATTGCCATACCGTTGTCGGATACTTCTGTGATGTACTGGTTTGCGCCATTACCATACCAAAGTTAACAGATATCCTCACTGTTGCTAATCAGATTTTCTTACATGCCGTATATAGTTACACCAAAAAAGCACTGAAAAGTTGAAAAATATATATAATTTTTCGGTTGACCTATTTTCGTGTCAATCCAATTTAACATATTACTATGTGTGCGTGTGTTTATGTCACAATACTTGTTGGGGCATTACCTCGATTGCTTAATCGTAATCAGAATTAGTGCAGGTGGTTTCACAACCTAAATGAGGTATATAAAGAGAATTTTCAATAATTTTCGTCCATAAGTAAATTTCATGAATACCAGTAGATCACTCGGGAAGAGGTTGAAACTACAATCCAGCCTGGATGAAAACACCTTTTGGGAAGCAAGACTATGTGAAATCCAATGGAAACTTGCGTTTAGTTGTAGAAAAATTTAACTACCAGTCCGTCATCGGCCTAAACGAAATGGAGTAAATACAGCTCATCACATTCTTGTGAGGCCTTCACAGAAGTAAAGGATGCCAACCGGATCTGGCCTAGTTTATTCATATATTTCCAATAACTATAGCCAAAACTAACTATATAAAGACATTTTTAAAACCTTCTTCATCTCATATAAGTAAATATATGGTATTGTGCATTTGGGGGTTGATGTGTTTGTTTGTGTACACATATAGGTAGGGATGATTACCGGTGCCTGAATGGGATGGAGTTAGTATTGGAATGACAATAAGTTATGTTTAGCATCCACAGAGTTATTGCTGGTGGTTTCGTAGTAGTATGTACATACGCATACACATACGCTCGCACTTACACACTCAAACATACACGTCCTTGAATTAACATATAAGGGAACAAATTAAATTGTTATGCGTTTCCTTCTATACAAACCATTTTGTTGTTTAGTGGTTTAGTAATGGATACCCCAGAGAATTTATTGAGAAAAATGTAGCGGTTATAAAGGGACGATTTCATCTTGGATTTTATGAAAATCAGATCAGGAATAAGGATAACAACCAAAAGTGGATTTGCTTGCCCTCATAAAAACTGAGCCAACAATTGCGACCTTTATTAGGAAAATGGAATA